ACCAGCTTCCCACTGCTTACCTGCCTTCCTACATCCAGTTGGCCTCTTTCAATGGACTTTCTCATCCACATGTGCTTTGCTAGCGATGTAAAATTTGAGTGACTGAAAATGAATTCCTGTTTCTTCTGTGATTTCTTTTTTGTTTTATGCTGAATATGTTGCAGTGTCCTTGCCCTGATTCCAGGTGTCAGAGCTGGACAGTCCATCACCTTCTATGCTAAGCAAACTTCAGCTTGGAGAACCAATCTTTCCTTCTGCTTCTGCTGCTGGAAGAAGCAGAGTGGCCATGGCCAACTCCTGGCATAGCTGACCACCAGCCTGGGTTTTGTGTCTCCCACACTTTCTCTCATGCTTTTTCATTATCAGAAATTGCTGTTGGGTTTCTTCTTTATGAATCACTGTGGCCATGATTCTGATGATGCAGAGAGGCATAGAATCATAGAATAGCTCAGGTTGGAAGAGACCTCAAAGATCATGGAGTCCAACCACAACCCAACCATCCTACCCCAACTCTAACAGCCCTCCGCTAAATCACGGCCCTGAGCACCACATCCAAATGTTTGTAAACACATCCAGGGATGGTGACTCAACCACCTCCCTGGGCAGCCCATGGCAGTGCTGAACAGCCCTTTCTGTAAGAAGTGTTTCCTGATATCCAACCTAAACCTCCCCTGGCACAACTTGAGGCCATTTCCCCTCGTCCTGGCACCTGTCACCAGTGAGAAGAGACCAACCCCGCTCTGCTGCAATCACCTTTCAGGTACTGGAAGAGAGCAATAAGGTCTGCCCTCAGCCTCCTCTTCCCCAGCCTAAACAGCCCCAGTTCCTTCAGTCTCTGCTCATGGGCCATATTCTCCAAGCCCTTCCCCAGCCTTGTTGCCCTTCTTTGGACCTGCTCCAGCACCTCCATGGCCTTCCTGTACTGAAGTGCCCAAAAACTGAACACAGCACTCGAGGTGAGGCCTCACCAGTGCTGAGTACAGGGCAGGATGACTTCCCTGAAATGAAATAGAAAGAAATAGAAGAGAGCTTGATCACGCTCCTTTCTCCAGCTCTGGCTCTCTGACATATTCATGCCATTATTTCATCACTATCTTTCAAGTTTATCACCATCTTTACTCTGCATTTCTTCTCTCGTGTTTAATTTTTTCAGCTCCTTGTCTTTTCTAACAGCAATGCCAGTGCTGTCCTACTAGTGGTCCCATAGACATCTTAGAGCTTGTTGTTTAATTGCAAGAGTATATATGTTTGCTCTACCACCATAATAGCTCTCTGAACTCATTACTGAGCTAGCTCAAGTTATGAGATGGCATAATGCTTTGTCTCCTCACCTAGAAGCATTCTGCTGCTGAAGCCTGGGGTTGCAGTGCCTTATTGCAAATACTGATTTCTGTTACTCTCCCAGTGCTGCTGCAGTGAACCTGTAGTCCTGATCTTGATCTTTGGTGCTCTGGATACTCCTCTAACATTAAGCCATCGGCAGCTTTGTAGGTGTCTTTGTTCTGCGTGGGTTGTCATAGGTTGTGTGTGGGTTTCCATTAGCATTGCACATAAAATCCCTCCTGATAATCCAATTCAATAGAATTGCTATTAATAGTTTCCCTCCAATCCAGTACTTGCTCTCTCTGTACTACCTGTCGTGCCTTCACTACTGCTGGGGCTTTCTCATTCTCATAAAATCAGAGAATCCTAGAATCCAACCCCCTGCTATGTGCAGGTTGCCAACCAGCAGACCAGGCTGCCCAGGGCCACATCCAGCCTGGCCTTGAATGCCTGCAGGGATGGGGCAGCTGTTCTGTATTAACAAACAACTTGTGTGTCTAGTACTAGATCAGGTGATCTCTTGTATGTGGTCTTCCTCTTAGATATCTGAAATAAAGCCTGTTGGACAGTATCTGTTAAGGACTCTTCAGAAAGAGACTTTTTTTTTTTTTAAGGCAGTAAAAGTTGAAATTCAAGTGTATGTTTTGCAGTGACCTCTTCAAAGAATCACAGCATGGCCCTGGTTGGAAGGGACCTCCAGGATCATGAAGCTCCAACCCTTCCACTACAGGCAGGGCCACCAACCTCCACATTTCATAGCAGCCCAGGCTGCCCAGGGCCCCAGCCAACCTGGCCTTGAGCACCTCCAGGGATGGATGGGGCATCCACAGCCTCGCCTCCATGTTTGTTACAACTTGTAAATAATGCACTAAATGAAGAAAACTCAATAATGAGACCTCAGACCTAATGTAAGAAACATGATGAGCTAGTGAGAAAACTTTACAAATAACAGGATGTTTTTTCCCCACCTCCATCAGTTCCCACTGGCTCACTGCCTGCAGCAAGTCCTACACAGCCCCCAGTGGTGACGTATGAGGCCCCAGAAAGAAAGGAGCTTGCTGTTGGCTCTCTGTTCTCTGCCATTTTGAAAACTGGACTCTGTCATAGATCCATTTCTGCCACCGTCCCCTAGGATTCTGACTGTGCCTGGCTTTTAGCAGGGTGTCACCTACCTGTACAGTAAGTTCCTGTGGTGTGAAGCAGGTATGGAGGTCTGGTGACAACTCAAGAAAGACCGAACAGAAAGTGTTTCTACTGTGTCCTGCCTCAGTGAGTCCTTTTTATACAATTTCATCAGTCAACTTAATATCTTCAAGATGTGACCTTCCCCTACAGTTCTGTTCTGAGTTTCTGGGTGGTTTCCCATCAAACAAATGAACCAATTAGAATCAATTAGAGAGAAAGCAGATATGAAAAGAAAGTTCTGTTCAACTGAACTCTGTCACTTCACAGGTATTGCTTGTCCAGATCTAAATTCATTTTTAGTTTATATTCCTATCAATATGCCTATATTCTTATTAGTTATTATTACATGTTATTAGTGTATGCTGGTTCCAGCATGCAGCTGTCTGCAGGAGGACAACATCTCTGAGGATGCTGATTTTTGCTGTTCAGAAAAGATATCTCCATTCTCATTTTCAAACTACTGTTTCTGTGTCGCTTCAGTTCCTGCTCTAGAAGTAGCATCAAAATAGTGCTTAACCCATAATTCTGTCTCTGTTTTTAGAAGGCAAGAAACTGTAAATAATTTTTTAAGCTTGCATGGATGTTTAACTTCCAGAAATGTATATAATGATAAATAAACCAGTGAAAATAATTACTTCTCTTCATCTCAATAAATTGAAGAATGTATTTAGTAAATGGAAGCACAGCAGTTATCATAGCTTGGGAATGGTTCAGAGGCTTTAGAGGAAAAGTCACGGACTCAGGGCTGGGGTGGTGGATTAGTGAGGCATTATAAATACATCATTTTTCCAGATCTTAAAATGACATTTACAAAAAATAAAATATCTCCAGCCTAGCATGGCCTTGAGGACTCTGTGGCATTCTTTTGCATTCAATACTTTTCTGCCTGCCTTCCTGAAAGGCTTTTATCTGCATTCTCTCAAAATGCCAAGAGAGATTTAGAAGGTTTAGCATTATTTTACAGTTTTGTAATTAGTCTCACATATAACCAGAGCTTAATATAGATATTTTTTCCAGTCGGTCATTTTTCTGCTCTTTCATATCTTTGCAGTCTCAACTTCCTGCTTTGATCCAGAATGGCAGATCATGAAGCTTTGTGAATGAATGTCTTATCACAGAATCACAGAATGCTTTGGGTTGGAAGGGACCTCAAGGATCACGAAGCTCCAACCCCCCACCACAGGCAGGGCCACCAACCTCCACGTTTCAGAGCAGCCCAGGCTGCCCAGGGCCCCATCCAACCTGGCCTTGAACACCTCCAGGGATGGACGGGGCATCCACAGCCTCTCTGGGCAGCTGTTCCAGCACCTCACCACTCTCACAGCAAAGAACTTCCCCCCAACATCCAACCTCAGTCTGCTCTCCTTCAACTTCAAACCATTTCCCCTTGTCCTGCTATTATCTACCCTTGTAAAGAGTTCAGTCTTTTATTCCCTGCTGGGTGATGCCCTGCTGGGATGGGATGGTGAGGGCTGTGCCTGTGCCCTGCCCCTTCCACAAGCACTGCACTTCCTGGCTCACAGCCAGGCTGCTGGGCTTGGCTCTGAGTGCTTTGTGAGATGCTCTTTGTATGGCCAGTGTGCAAATCGTTGTCCTAAGCCCAGCACTCTTCAAGACATCGAACCCACACAAGTCTTCAGTAGCCATCCATCAGGAGGTTCTGCTATGGGGCTGGCCTCTGCCTTGTGGCAAACTGTGTTTTATTATAGGATCTCCTTACTGAGCATGGTCTGACACACACCCCTTAAAAACATGGCTGCGTATTTGGTGTACATCAAATATTTTGTAAACAGCAGCCAGACATTACAATAATATTTTAAGATGCTATAAGAGCACAGACTGAACTGGGGATATGCAGCTCTTTCAGTTGCTTCGTTCAGAAGATAAGGAATTATTTTTTTGTTCAAGTATTAATTCACTTATCTTCAAGGAATGTCTCCTGGGTTGTGACTCTTCAGTTACATCCTTATGTCATAGAGACGTAACCACGCTTGAGATACACTGAGTGACGTAGAAGGGGCATAAATCCACATCAGCTGCTGCGTATATCCTTGCCGTGGGAAGTGGTTGCTATTGTCTGATATCAGCCAGCATAAAACAGAGTGATCTGTAGCTACACAGTGAACTTCAGCTCCCTGTGTGAGGGAAAGCTGTGAATTCCCCATCCAGCTCTACAAAGAAGTCAGCGATGGGCTAATCTGTATGACTAGAATGGAGTGTTATCTTAAATTCTTAGTAACAGATTACAACAAACAACAAATATATGTTAAATTGTTACTACATTTTTACAGAGTATTTGAAGAGCTATGAAGAAATAGGAGGAAGTTTTTCATCCAGAGGGTGGTGAGGCACTGGAACAGGTTGCCCAAGGAGGCTGTGGATGCCCCATCCCTGCAGGCATTCAAGGCCAGGCTGGATGTGGCTCTGGGCAGCCTGGGCTGCTGGTTGGCGACCTGCACACAGCAGGGGGTTGGAACTGGAGGAGCACTGTGGGCCTTTGCAACCCAGGCCATTCTGTGATTCTGTGATTCTCTGAACTACAAAAAGTACTGAATGTATACTGGTTGATATGAGGTGAGGTGAGCTGTGATGAGGTTGGGAGCACAACTCAGAACAGGAGAGAACCATGTCACAAGTGCTGGTGTTCCAAACAGTCTGTGATGGAATATCCAGAGCTGGGAGGGACGAGTAGGGCATAGGAGGGACCACTGTGGGCTCCACACTCAGCAGCCCGAGTTTGGCACTGTGGGGGCTCCCAGTGTTCTCCTTTTTTTCTCCCTCCTGAAGGCTATCAGAACTAGAATGAATTGGAAGTTTCGTGTGGAAGCTTTTTTTCTTCTTTTGTGAAATGGAATACATTAGAATTCATTGCAGCTCCATGCTTCAGAAGAAAGCTGGTTGTTTAGCTGTAGGTAAGGCACTTTGAAGTAAGATCAATTCTCTGTCACTTACTTGTATTTCCTAATGTACTTGCTATTTAATTTGTCAATTTAGTATTGAAAGCACATCATGATTCCTTTTATTGTTTTCTCCAAAGGGAACCAAAGTGCACAATGACCAAGTGATTTAGAGCCGTGTTAAATATGCATCTTCTGAAACCACTTGATTTTTATATTAAAAAGTAATGAAATAAATAGTGAGTAAAAAGTGCAAACCAGAGGGATGGGAGACTGGTTTTGATCCTTATCTGTTGGAGAGGGTCCAGAGGAGCCACAAAGATGAACAGAGGGCTGCATGCAGCACCTCCACTATGCAGACAGGCTGAGGGAGCTTGGCTTGTTCAGTCTGGAGAAGGCTGCAGGGTGAGCTCATTGCAGCCTTCAGTACCTAAAGGGAGCCTGCAAACAGGAGGGGAGTCAGCTCTTGGAAAGGGGAGATAACAGCAGGACAAGGGGAAATGGTTTGAAGTTGAGGGAGGGAAGACTGAGGTTGGATGTGAGGGGGAAGTTGTTTGCTGTGAGAGTGGTGAGGTGCTGGAACAGCTGCCCAGAGAGGCTGTGGATGCCCCGTCCATCCCTGGAGGTGTTCAAGGCCAGGTTGGATGGGGCCCTGGGCAGCCTGGGCTGCTCTGAAATGTGGAGGTTGGTGGCCCAGCATTGCTGGGGGGTTGGAGCTTCATGATCCTTGAGGTCCCTTCCAACCCAAACCATTCTGTGATTCTGTGATTGCTCTGTCTCAAATTTCAGCTATTGAAACATCCGTTCTTTTAGTGAGAGGAAAAAGGGGAAACTGATTGTGATTTCTTATAGCCATAAGGGCGTGATGATTTGCAGTGTGGTTTCTGTCTCTTCTGTGTTTGTGAGATGATGAGGATGAGATCATGGAGATGGACTCAAATAAAACCATTTCATGTAAAAATTACATTGGCTTTTGCAATGAAGATTTTTTCCTCTCCAGCCACCACCTGTATGCTGCTCCAGAGGCACTAGAGAAACGCTGCACCTCAGTATGGGTCCTGTATCAGCTAATCTCCATCTGTCACATGAATGCAAATCAGAAAAAATAGCAAGGAAAATTAATAAGGCAGTGTATCCTGTCTGAAACGAAGAAAATAACAAATATCATTACTCAGTAAATGCTGAGTATTCACATTGGGGGTTTTTTGGCTGCAGTTGGACGAGGCATATTACAGAAGAGACCATCTGATTTAAGAAAGTGCTGCAGCAACACGAATACCCGCTTCCAACTCATCCTATGATACGAAGAGAAAATAGCAATTACTTCAGAAATCCATTATTCATTGCTTCATTACTTGGTGTCTGGCTGCATGTTGTGTGACAGTTTATTTTTTTCCCTTTGAACTGCACTGCTGCTCCCGGCTTGGCAGCAGGCGCTGCTTCCTCTCAGCACAGCCATTAAATCTCTCACCTGCGTGTCCTGTGCAGTGCTGCTGCTGGGAGATAAGGCTGGTGTCTCGCAGCTGTGAGCATTGGTATTCCAGGCTCCTCTTTCAAGGGCATTTTGCTGTGATGGAGCATCTCAAATGACAAGGAAAACATACAGCCATGTTAAATACCCTTGCTGGTCGGAGACAAGCGAGAGTAAATGGAAAGGATTTTAAAATGCATTTTGAAACCTTTAACAGAGCTTATGGGTAACAGTAAATCACATTTTTAGGCAGGAGCATTACAGGCCTATTCCAACCAGCATCATCCATTAAATGTCTACTAATGGAGAGTACCTGTCCTTCCCAACGTTCGCTTAAAGTCCAAATAAAGCACGAGGAGTCTGAGCTCTTCTGAATATGTGTTCCTGCACCTCCTGCTCAAGGTCACATAGGTTGTGCAGTCAGGAGCTGAATCCATTTCTTCCAGAGCCTCTCTGTGAGCACTGCACCACCGCCCTGCATGCATTGGGGAGGGAGAGACTTGTCTTCTGTCTGCTGAAAGTGGCCACGTGCACCACTCATCTTCTTCCCCTGCCCTTATATTTGCAAGCTATGGACTATGCACGGTTCTGCGACATCAAAGGTGGTTGTACAGTTCTGACTCACAGTTAAAACGTGTGTGTTCCTAAATAAGACAACAAAATCATCTTGGCTAAGTGATAATCATTGAAGTCACTGAAGCATTCTGACGTTATCAAATGTGGCACATGAAGTTGCTCAGTGCTTACTGAAGGAGGGAAGTATTCCCTGATGTTTGATTTATTTTCTGACTCTTGGATTCTGAGAGCTGTAGGTGTGAGGGATGGGAAGTTGTTACTTACAGAACATCAAACTGTTACTTATGAAAAGTTTCCCCTCCAAGGAATCAAGGATGGCCCAGACATGGCTCATCTGACAGATGCTCTAAACTCTAGATTTTATGTACTTACAAAGAAGCATATTGATTTGGGCTCATTCTACGTTTAGTTAACCTTCCATGTTTTTCTGGCCCAAACTCCACATCTTTAAAAGCCTTCAAACAATAGGAGTGATTATTTGCTCTGAGAAGAGGTGATTCAAAGCCCCCCCACCTCTCCCCCCTTCATCCCCTATAATTACTGTTAATTCAGAATTTTTAGGAACTTTAGCTTGGGGATCAAACTCATCTTGGAAAGATCACTGGCTATGTAGCTGTTGGTAGCATCTCAAATAGTGTGCCTGGTTTTGGGCCCCTCACTACAGGGTGGATATAGAGCTGGTGAAACACATTTAGAGAAGAGCAGTAAGGTTGGTGAAGGGGCTGGAAAATGATGTGAGGGAGCTCGGACTGCTTAGTCTGGAAAAGAAGAGGTATGTATGAGATGTGTGGATGTGGCATAAGGGACATGGCTTAGTGGGGGACTTGGTAGTGCTAGGTTGATAGTTGGACTTAGCCATCTCAGAGGTCTTTTCCAACCCAAATTATGCTCTTTATTCAAACTTTCAATTCACCTAGAGTCTTTCAGATATTCAAAGATGCTCTATTTCGTATCTTTTTGCTGTTGTGTTCTTGTAACAACTTTATTTCATCTGGAAATTGGTGAAGTCACAGAATCACAGAATCACAGAATGGCTTGGGTTGGAAGGGACCTCCAGGATCATGAAGCTCCAACCCCCCACCAATGCAGGGCCACCAACCTCCACATTTCATAGCAGCCCAGGCTGCCCAGGGCCCCATCCAACCTGGCCTTGAACACCTCAGGGATGGACGGGGCATCCACAGCCTCTTTGTGGATGCTCCACATCCAGCACCTCACCACTCTCACAGCAAACAACCTCCCCCTGACATCCAATCTCAGTCTTCCTGGTAGTTTTGGCAACTACCAGGATCCCAGGGCAGAGAAGCCCTATGCAGGTAGTTACCTCAGCCTTAATACTTTGTTGTTGCAACTACTGACTCTGCTCTTGGAAAAATTCATTACTAGCTATTAATGCAGTGTTGGGGTTTTAATCTGTTAAAATGGGTATACATCAAATGTTAAAATGCCCTTAACAAGAGGTATAACTGGTAACATCTGGTGACCATTACATTTAGAAGGTAAGAATGGGAATGTTATTTCCAGGTAACAGTGAGTTAATCTAGTAGGGCTGGCCCAGCATTGGGTAATGTTGTATCCCACTGGCTTTCATGGCTTCCTTGGCCCCAGTGCCCTGAAGTCCCAGCCTGTCACCCACATCTACACACAGCTTAAGCTGTAGCACAGCTGGAGGTACTGAGACCCTGGGTTCCATGTTCTGATGTGTTCCCAGTGCATTCCTCTGGCTGGGTTTATCTGCTACTTCCATCCTTTTAGAGGGTGATCTACTTTAGCACAAGCCAGTGCTCAGTGCAAAGAGGGTAAAAAAGAATGACGAAAAATGCACTTTCTTGTTGTTTTCTAGAGTTTAACTTAAGGTCTTTGTGCAAGAGCTCTTTGGAGGTGCTCACTTTGCTCCTGGAATTTTTTGTTTGCCTGAATTGATTTTCAGCTGCAGACAGAATCTGCAGTTGTTTGGATCTGGGTTGGTGGGGGGGTGTTTGTTTTTGGACATTTTTTTCCAAAATAGTTATTTTATGTTGCTGAAGTCTTTCTGTTGTCAGCATTTCTTCCTTGTTTTGTTTTTGTGTTGAATAAATAGAAGGCTCCTTTCACAAACAGAATCCTGTCCTATGGACACACACAAGAGCTTGGTTTAAACACCTTGACTTTTGTGGTAGGCTGAACGAGAAGGAGCTGCACATTGTTGAAAACATTTGAGTCAGACATAATGCGAGTCTATTTTAGGATCCCATTCAGGCACCAATGGCCATGGTTGTAGGGCTCCATGTTATTGTGCTGGATTTGTGCAGCACTGCAAACAGCATGGTTGGTGACTGTGAGCAGAGCTGCAACAGCAATAATCCTGCTGTATGTAATGGTAATGAGCACAGCCACTTGGCTTCTGAATGTGGGCAGTATTTTTGTTACAGCGTGGCTGCTGTTACGGTGAACTCTCCCTAAGGCTCAATCAGCAATGGTTTGCTTGCAAAAGGGGGTCAAGATGTTGTGCAGGTTGTTTTAAGGACTTGGCAGCTGAGCTGAAGAATCTGAAATTGGGGCACTGTTTGTATGTATCAGGCAGGGCTGTGGTTAAAACTGTGGTAAAACCAAGCAGAAAGTGGTCCCACACTGCGCAGAGCACAGGGGAGGGGCTGACCCTGGCTACAACAACGTGACTCATTGCCTTCCAGCTTTGGGAGCTGTTGCCTTTCTGAAGGGACTGCTGATTCAGGTATGGGACTCCATCATCACGTGTTCATCATCGGAGAGCCTGGGGATGTTACTGCATTGTGCTGGGTCTTGTGATGGAAAATAACAACTGGATTTACCTTTAGTCAGCATTATTCTCAGCGTTCCAGAACTCGTTTGGTGGCTGTGTGTGTCACTGTAAAAGCTTTGTATTTCTGTGTAGATGTACAAGCAGATCTGCTCAGTTTCCACTCTGAAATACTCCCCTGGGATATCTGCACACACAGTGCCCCTTTAA